CACCCTCATCACACACCAAATACTCTATCCACGCAAACCTCGTGTTGGCGCACAAACTCGTCCTGCAGGATGTGCTAAATCTCATGCCCGAACTCATTATCGCGAAGGAGATCCTCGGGAATGCATATGAGAACCAGGAAGAGATGATGCATTTCGCTGTGGAAGGCGCGCGGAAGGGGGTTGTGCATCGTTCGTGTATGTTCTTTCTCTTTGAGTATTTGTCTTGTCACGAGCTTAGTCCCACTACTATGAAGATAAACCAAGTCGATCCCTTATTACGACCATTCCTTTAAAGAGGTACTTTTCTTCCGTGCGCCTGGGCTCCAGTGTCAGGTGTCTCCTCCGCCTCGGCCAGGCCAACGTTCAGTGGTATCCCGGTCACGCACCACGGTGTAGTCGGGAGGGTGGTTATGTGGGGAGGGGTGGGAGCACGGTACAGATGCCGGACTATACGTTGGTTGTTTTGATGGGTGTTGTGAAATTGATGCGCTTTTGGGCGTTTCTTCGTTGACTGGGCCCACACCTGCTTGGACGTCCACGACATCTTCATTTTCCAAACGACACTAGCATACACCCCAACCCGCTATCCACAGGTCGTATCGCACATAGCCCCAAAACGGCTCTCCCTTCTTGAGAAGAACTACTTGTTCATGCCAACATGCTCGAGCACACATTAACTTTATATCTAGGAGTGGTCATCCAGAGATCCCGGATCCAAGCACTGTGGCTTGATAGGTGCATATTGGGCGGCACATCCTACGTTCTCCCATACATCTACCCAGCATCCAGAATTCGAATCTCTACCCCCTTGGGATCCGACTTGCGCAATCCGTACACCTTGACCTCCAGAGTGCTGTGCCAGTGTTCCAATTGCCCATGTTCAACGTGCTACCTGAGCAGCTCTTGCAACTTCGACGTTTTGTTCACGGTAACGGACGAAAGCCCAAACCACTCCTTCATCCTCTTGGTTCCCTCGCGGCTCCACGTTACGATAATGCATCTTGACCATCTATTTCGCGTTTGGCAGCACCTTTCCTCCTTGTCTCCCAGCTACATCTCTCCGCTTCCTCGTCCCTCCATCCTCTTGGCCTTCTACTCGTGGCTCTTTCCTTCCACCATTTATCGCCATTCATTTCGTCTTTGGCAGGATATCCTCTCCCCGCCTTTCCTTCATTCTGCCTCGGCCTTTTCCATCCATTGAGATCTTACTCGAGTCGCAGGGTCTTCGTATCGCAATGCTGCATCCCAATCTCCGCAATTGCTGCCGTATACGGTAACGGACGGGAGCTCTTGAAGCCACACATCTTCCCGTAAAGCACTCGCAGTCTCCTCCACCATTCCCCTTGGCCTTCTCGTTGTGCCTCTTTTTTGAACCTGTCGTGGTACCCTATCTCGACGATTGATGAGATATGGCGTTTGGCCGCTGGCATTACTCCCCGGACCTACATGAGCCCAAACCACACCCCGCCTTTTCTCTCTTTGCATTCTAGTTTTGTTCTGGACGAGAAGTTAGAACTCAAACCACCCATCTTCCGTCGTTAAGAGTGACGCAGTCACAGCTTCCTCCTCCATCCTTTGCCTTCTCCTCATGGCTCATTTCTTGCGCTCGACATCTCACTCCATCCCACGATCCATGTTTGCCGGGACTTCCTAGATTTGCCCGAACCTATTTCTTCCTGCCTCTCGACATTTACCCAATCGCTCCATGTGTCTCAAGCTGAAGCTCCAAGTTCCACCCCCCTTTTCGCATCCAAACAGATGCTGCAGTGTGGTGTACTGCGCAGCCTACTTCGCGAGTTGACAGCACCCCTCTCTCGTCCTCTTGGAGTGGTTTCTTATGTTTACCCTCACTACTTCATGACTGTAACAAGGCGGTATCCCAACAAGAAACTTTTCTCTCTCTCATAAACGTGCTCCATGGGCCTGTTATACACCATCTCCGCCATGTGATCGTCCACTGCTAGTACTACTACTACAGTACTAGCATGGCGTGCCCGAGGTCCCCGTCAAGCCACCGAGCCCATGATCAATCAAAGCAACTGTACTGAGGTGCAGCCTGAGGTGGATTGCAATTTGCGCCTCGACTGGATTGTACATTCACCGCGCACCGTCCTGTCGAGCTCCCTCCCTTCCCAACTCTTAGTGACAAGTCTTGGCGCTTCCGAACCGGACCCCGACCTACCCCGACTCAGGTTCTTGGGCTCCCAACACTTGAGACAGGGCCCAATAAATATTCAGGACAAATCAGGACATATGTACCTCCTTAATCATAGCCGCTTGTAAAATAATGAAGTGAATGTGCATCCCGAAAACATTAATTCTCAAAATTACAAAAGGAAGAACAATAAGAACATCAACCACATGTAATTTGCATATTTAAACAATTTCTTTGTGAAATAGTCTTGGTAGCCATGGCAACACCGCTCAGCTGAAGAATATGTGAAAGAATAAAATAATGAAATTGGCCAGTCAAGATGGCTGATGTTCTTATTGTTCACCAGTTTAAGATTTTGTTAATCAATGTTTGTGGGATGCACAACAGGTTTATTATTTTACAAGTGTCAACAATTATGGAGGTACCTTTGCGTAGATCACACATTGGACACTGTCTCAAGTGCAAGTTCCAAGGGTTCAACCCTTCTTTCAAGTTCGGAAGTTCCTGGCTAAATTTCTTCCGATTCGGACTCGCGCTTACCTCCGTCCGTGTCCGTGCCCTTCTTATTCATAGACTTGAACGAATTGGGCAATACTTTGTGTGGGAGTTGACTATGTAGTTTCGTGCTTGCGGTTCAATATACATACATTGCAATGCATCGTGTTTTGAGGTATAAAACAAAATAGATATTAAAGGAACCGTAAGCCAAGCGAGCGAGTCTCAGGTCTGGAGTGAGGAATGGGAGAAGCATATATAAAGAGAGAGAGAGGGCAGCCAATTGCATAATTAGAAGAAAGGAAGCGGAAGCTGCGGAAGAAGGTTGGTAGGGTAGGGTCGAGACCAACACTGACTACGTTGAGAAGACTGTGTCACGCGGGAGTGAGAATAGTGTAATCGGACGTGCTGACAAGATGCGTGAACACCTAAACAACACACACACACACAAACACCTTAAACACTTATCACCACAGGTACGTGCTCGGTACTTCGAGTTTGGGTTCGTATGGTAAACAGAATTACCACACTTGTTTTGTTAGAACTTAAGTAGAAGTTCGGGGAGACGTTTTTTGTATATTTTATATCACTTGTCTAAGTCTAGTAGACCTTTTTGGAACAAAAGGTATTGTTTTACGTGCGGACACAGTATAGAATTCGAAACTTAGTAGTCTTCGAAGGGAAACAGCTTTTATTGGGACTGTCTCGGTGTTCTGGGATTGCGTTCTAACTGTATACGAAGAAATGACAAGGAAATTGTGCTTTGTAGACTTTTATAACTCCCTTGAGCTTTTATTATGCCTCTGATGCGGTCCAAACTAGTCTTAAAGACTCTTCAAGCACGCTCACTTGGATTCCTCGGTAATAGTAGAGAGCTCTCTTACTAATTGACGAGACAACCTTACAAAAGCTTTGTGATCCCCACTTAACACGCTGGTTCCGGGCACACGTTACTTATGTCTGCGAAGAAAAGTCCTTAAATTGATTACAAACTTATCCACTACCTCAGATGCTACTGGGAGTGCGACAGCTGGTCAACGCGGGGGATAATTCCTTGCGTTTCAGCCTGTGCGCATCCTTTTTTTAATACTATTCTATGTTTTCTATTTATATTTACATGTCCGTGCATTGTCCGAGAGGTCGGACGAATTAATACTGATTTTTAGTAAAGGTTTGAAGTGGCTCGGTTGTGTGTGGCACAACTGAGCTGACTTCTTTTAAGTTTTCGTAGTGTTTTCTCTATTGTGGCGACGCGACACATCAGTATTGATGCGTACGCGGGAATCACCGTAAACGGTTTTCATGATCGGTTCAGCCGAGACGAACGGTCCGCTTAGTGATTTTTCTCTCTATTATTAGATACTATGCCCGGGCCTCGGACTGCATGGCAAATCGTTCATAGTTTTTCTCTTTTGGCAGGCTTCGGAATATTTCACGAAGCTTAGTTTTCTTGGGTCAATGATGCCATGATTTGTGATGCACGTGATGCGTCTCTCCACATGACTTCTTGGATCATGCTTCATAGCACGTGACCGAATGACTTCTCGCGTCAGGTACACGTCGAGTTTCTACGCTCGCGCGTTTATCTTTAGAATTAATATCTTTTAATCCATAATAAAGTGAGACCCTGGTTTGGTGTAAACTCCAACACCCTGTGCGGGGGTGTTTTTACTCTAGAACACTCAGTAGCGTACTATTTCATGGTAGTGTAGCCTTTTATTAGACTTCGAGTATATTGAGGTGATTCGGTCACGAACCGACCGCAATTCCTACTGTCTAAGGTGTGCACATTTCTTGGATGTAGACTTTAATCGACTAGACCGGGTTGCGTCTAACGATCCTTATGATCAATGTGACTGTATTTCTACTATAGGAGGTTTTATAGGAGAAATCGCTAAAATTCGCATTTTTACGGGTGTATTGTTACACTCTGTATCATCTCCCCCTCACTATAATACTGACCGTCCTCGGTCATCACTAGATCCTGGTATGAGGACGTTCCCCTCGTGTTTTTCTGGATTTTATATTGATATGTCTTCAAAAGATCACCGTCTGTCAAGCGTGTCTTTTATCTTTCGGCGTCAATTACTATTACTAGTGCAGGCGTGTTATTCTTCGAAGACATGACATCATATTCCTATTGTTGCCTAGGTACGCCTCAGTTGATTAATGTTTTTTGGCGTCCATTAAGATTTTCAGGGTCGACGGAACCGAGGGATTCTCAGCGATCTTCTCCCGTAGACTATTCTTCGGAAAGTGCCTCGCTATTCCGTATGTTCTGCCTGACGTTCCTATAAACTTCGTGCTTTATGGGAGCGATTGTCACAATTTCTTTCTAACTTTCCCCACCATGCCTACCGCATTCCTTGGTTGTCGCGCCGCTGTTCAAGCGTTCGAAGTCGGCATTGACCTCTTCTCGCGTTCCCACCTCAACGCTATGTCTGAGGCCGAGATTATGGCTACGCTATACCGCCTGCATAGTTATATGGTGAGTCTCTGTTCTTTTCTTTTATTCTCTGCTGATTTTCGACTTTTTATTGCCTTAGTTAGCATTGTTTTCAGACATCCTTGCTCGTCCTGGTGGTCCTACGCCACACAAGTCTCATTTACTGGCGTCCGTTTACAATGCCGCCCAACGCGTTGAAGAACACAACCAAAGTACTGCCTGGGAGGAATGGCTGCAAGAACCATTGGATGGTCATGCGCTTTATAGCCCTGTAAATAACTTTCTTCTGTTCTTTCTTTTTATTTTTCTTCTAATGATTTTTATCTTTCTAGGGCGAATGCCTAGACTCCAGCTTTACCATGGGGTACATAGGAGAGGAGGACGCGCCGAGCGACCACAGGTCTTCGTCACCTCCGGGGATCATTACTCCCCGAGGTCGAGCTCGTGTCGTTCAGTCCCCTTCTCCTACGGGATCCGATCCATAGTTTCTACCAAGCCCTGGCCCAGAGTCCCTGCCAGTTTCCTCGCCTGACTTGACGCCGCCTGTCCCTGTTCGAAGGTCGAAGCGTACTCGTGCCATGGTTCGAGATCATCGATCCTCTGTCTACAACGCCCTTGAAGCTGGCTATTGGCCCTGTAAGTTTCTTCATTTTCCTCTGCTTAGACATTTTTACTAACTCTTTTGGTTTCTTAGCCAGGTAAACAACACAAGATTATTGAGAAACCCTCGTCTGACGACGAGGCCATCCAACATCCCAACCATTCCCGTTCAAGCTCGTCGGACTCTGTGCCTCTCGCTAGGCCTTTGCATGCAGACAAGGGCAAGGCTCGCGCCAAGACGCCTCCGCCTGTTGCAGGTTCATCTCAAGTTGACAAGGGAAAGGCTCGGGCGAGGACTCCTCCTACTACTCGTAGTTCCGCCAAGCGTACTGCCGTTAAGCCACCGGTGGTCAAGCAGAAGGAAACTTCTGTTCAACCCAAGTGTCGCGGTCACCCTCGTAAGAAGTGTAAGCTTTTTCTCTTTCTCAATTTGCTTTTTAACTTTATAATTCGGGTTTTTTCCAGCTCCCGTTATCTTCCAAGAGCCCATCGTGTTCGACAAGAAGCGATTTAGTAAGTCGTTCTTTTACTAGTATTTTGTTTACCCTGCTGACTTTCTTTTTAGAACGTGCCACCGCTAGATTTGGGCTTAAAGAGCTCCCCGCAGTTCTTAAGGGTACACAAATCCACGTATGTCTCCTCCTCTCATTTTTGTCTGAGTTTTCATAGGTACTGATACCTGTTTTATTAGATGCCCGAACCTTGCCTTCAGTGCTCCGCACGCATTCGCCATCGTCGCGACGCCAATCTTCGAGAGTTCGCAAACGCCATCGCGGACCTGTGTCTCACCGCCGAGCCTGGAACTCTTCTAGGCACTGTTTTCGAGACTCGCAAGGAGTTCGGCTCGTGGTACAGCTTCGTTCAAGACTTTGTAGATACTCAGGGGGTCCCAGTGCCTGCGGGTTCAACGACGGCCGATTTGGAGAGACTCGTCTCGCTTTTTCAGCAAGACGATTCTCCTCCCATTGCTGGGCCTTCATCTCTGACACCTTGTCAACGCCGCGTCTGCTCGCTGTCCCTTATTCCTTCTATCGCCGCTGCTTCGCCTGGTCTTCCACCTTCCGCCCATTCTCAGGAGGAGGAGGAGGAGGTTATCGACGAGCTTGTTGACGAGGAGTAGGTGCGCTTGTTTTTACGGACTCTTTTACTTGGCATGCATTCGGACATCTTAGTTTTTGGACTTTCTATATCAACCTTTTTGTGTCATTATCTTTTGTAGTTAGATTCTGCTGTCCTTATAGTAGAATCTTGACTTTGTCTTTCTTGAACTTTGAGATTTGTTCCTAAGTGAGAGCCTTTTTGCATGCTTTCTAGAGTGTGAACTTGTGAATTTTCGACTTTATTTCGCATTTTTCTATCAAATTCATTCTGCCTTAGGGTTTTATTGTCTCTAGTTCGCGTTTTTATGACTCTTTTCCCCTTGGTGGTTTTAGTGAATCATGAAATCGAATTTTTTATCTATCAAGGTAGCCTTGATCCGTCCCCCTCACTAAATATTGACTGTCCTCAGTCAAAACGACTAAGTTCATAGGTCACGTGGCATGGGACATCCAAGGCTCGGAAAGTTTATTCTATTTTTAGACGTGATTGCGCTGGAATGCGCAACTCCAAATTTTCACGCTTCAAGTGAATTGCAACGCGGAATTTCGGAACGCGCACGCCTTGGTCTCAGACACACATATAAAAGCAGGCAGTGGCGAAAAATTTTCGGACAGAACAGTTTTTTTGCTTTTCTACCACGCACTCTCATTTTACCACTCGCTCATTATATCTATCCCACAAAACGCTCTTCCCGCCTAGTGCTTGGAAGTTAGGTTAATTAACTGGAAAATAACCGAGACCAGACCGGACCTAACCGCAAAAAAACCGGACCGCGGTTAGTGGTTAGTCAATTCTGGAAATGAAATAACCGGTTATTTTGCGGTTAACTAACCGTTAAAAAACCGGTTATGACCGGTTATAACCGACCCTATTATACCCCTTCAAAACACATCTAAAAGCATGAGAAACGCTAAAAATCTGACAGAGTTATGGTCAAATCTCTAAATTATTGGCTAAAATAGTAGGCTTTCAAGAATATTATTATAAAATTGTCAATTCTTCACCGAATTTAGCGTTCTTGGGCTTGTTTTAAAGCTACGACGCATGGCAATAATGTCTACTGCAAGGAATATGAGAAATATACGCCGTTTTAATCGATTTTCTATTTTTTCGGTCCTAACCGGTTAGTAACTGCAACTAACCGGTTTTCATCGGTTATCTTCGGTCCAGTTAGGTTATTTTGGGTCTGGGAACGAACCCTAACCGGTCTCGGTCTCGGTTAGAGCCCCTGGGCACCCAATAACCTAACCTAACCGGACTTTCAAACACTATTCCCGCTGCTGTCAAGCTTCGCGAGTCCGCTCTCACTGCCTTCAAAACTTATCAGGACATGAAAGAGGGACTGAACAGTGCTGCCGCTCCCACCATTCTTGGCGTAGCTGCTAATTACTGTGTAAGTCGCGAATTTTTCTGTTATAAACTTCGTATTTTCTATTTCTTCGAACAAAGGCTAATACTGCGCACTTGACTAGGTTCAGCTTATCGACACCAAGGATCTGTGTCTGCTTATGCACCAGCCAATGCACAATGTGCTTTTCCTTGTTAGAGGTGAGTACAATACCCGCAGCACTGGAGTTCACGCCATCGCGCCCCCAGCCGACCTCGACACTATCAAAGAATATTGTCGCGCCGTTCTCGCCGTGCACGCCGCTGCGCAGGTCGTTCCACCACCCGTTACTGCTCAAGCTCAGGCTCAGGCTGAGATTGCAGAGGTAATGGCCGCTGCTAAAGCCAAGGCACGTTTATACTTATTTTGTTCATCTTTTCTCATTTTATTAACGCAGCGCGGATACATTTTGAAACAGCGTCCCCACAAGCTTGTCAAGTCCAAGGCTGTCATCGAGGACAAGGACGACGAGGTCGAGATTGTCCCCGGCCCCTCGGATACCGACGTTATGATGGGTGGGTGTGATGGCCCCAACGCTATCACTGCAGCTGACACCATGCATTATTATTATTTTTTTTTTTTCTTTCAAGCAGGACACAATTTTAATATTGCGTCCGCTTTGCTCAAATGGCAGTGGACAACCTCTTTGGTGACGAAGAAGTCAAGGACGCCGCTTCCTCTCCCAAAGAGAAAGGCAAGAAGCGCGCTGCCTCTGGTCCCAAGGTAAGCTGCTATTATTGCGTGAGTCCACTGCCATGTTGTTAACTTCATATTTTTATTCGGACATAACAGACCCCAGCCAAATCCAAGCGTGCCGAAACGGTCAGCATTCCCTACGACGCTGTTCCAGGTATGGACACTAACAGTCGCGAATTTCACAAGGCCCTCGTCGTCGAGCATGCCAAAGGCAGTTGCGCCGGCGACAAACGCCCTCGTACTGAACCGCCCTTTATTAGTGGTTTAGCAGATCTTCAGTCTCGTCAAAGTTCGTATTTATCTTTTATCTTCATAAATCGTAAACTAACACGCTCGTCCTTTGTTATAGACAAGTCCAATACTTATCACTCCCCCACCTATTCCTACTGGACTCCGGGACTCCAGTAGGATTCCTACTGGATTCCTACCAGATTTTGACAAAATTTCCAAAAAGGCATTTTCACATATTTCTCCATTCCCCCTCCTACTGGACTCCTACTGGACTCCAACTGGACTCCTACTGGACTCCAACTGAACTTAAACAAATTAGATGAAATGCTCCACACATTGAAGTCCTACTGGATTCCTACTGGATTCCCACTGGAATATCAACTTCAATGTATTACCAAGTCAGAACTTCAAATTTCTATTCAAAATTCACATTTAAACAAATGTTGTATTGTGAAATGACAACTAAATACAGAAAGATCTTTTACTAATGTAATGAGGGAGGGGGAGGGAGTGATGGAGTGATGGAGGGAGTGGTGGAGGGAGAGAGCTATGGAAGGAGGGGAAGTGAGTGAAGTGAAATGATGGAGGGGGGAGGGGGTGAGAGAGGTGGAGAGAGGAAGAGAGGGAGGGAGGGAGGAAGAGAGGGAGGAAGAGAGGAAGGGAGGGAGGAAGAGAGGGAGGGAGGGAGGAAGAGAGGGAGGGAGGGAGGAAGAGAGGGAGGGAGGGAGGAAGAGAGGGAGGGAGAGAAGGATGGTGGGAGAGAGAGAGGGAGGGAGGGAGGGAGGGAGGGAGGGAGGGAGGAAGAGAGGGAGGGAGGAAGAGAGGGAGGGAGAGAAGGATGGTGGGAGAGAGAGAGGGAGGGAGAGAGGGAGGGAGAGAGGGAGGGAGAGAGGGGAACAGAGAGAAGGAGACAGGGAGGAGAGATCATAGGTGGGGTGTTTTTCGAGGGCGGCGGATGTCGTTTGTGGGCGGTGGGCGTTTTTCGTGGGCGGCGGTCGTCGTTTGGGTTTGCTGGGTGTTTTTCGTGGGCGGCGGACGTCGTTTGTGGGCGCTAGGCGTTTTTCGTGGGCGGCGGATGTCGTTTGGGTGTGCTGCGTGCTTTTCGTGGGCGGCGGTTGTCGTTTGCATGGGCGGCGGCTGTCGTTCATGGGCGCTGGGCGTTTTTCGTGGGCGGCGGTTGTCGTTTTCGTGGGTGGCGGGCGTCGTTTGTGGTGGTGGGTGTTACGGTCGTCGTTGGCGGGTGGGAGCGGGTCGTCGCTGTCCCTCGTCTTTCTTGTTTGTCGTGTCGGCGGGCGCTCGTGGTTCGTGGGTGGTTGTCGTGTCCGTGAGTGTGGTCGTCGTTGCGTGCCGTGGTCGTTTGTTGTCGTCGTTTGTTGTCGTCGTCTGTCGTGGCCGTCGTTGTTGTCGTGGTCGCGTGTTGTCGTGGTCGCGTGTTGTCGTCGTCCGTTGTGGTCGTGGTGGGCGACGTGTTCGTGGTGGGTGAGCAAGAGGGTGGTGATGGTGGTGTTGTCGAGTGTTGTTGGGTTTGGGCAAAATTCCCACTCGCGGAATTCGCCGACGTCCTTTCTAGGAAGGAGGTCAGTACGTTGGTATATAGAGCATATAATAATGACCTATAGTAATGTCTTCCTAGTGTAACTGGTAAAGTGCTCGTCTCTATAGTATTGTCCCTATGTCCATAAGGTTGAGAGTTCAATTCTGTCAGGTTGCGCTTTTTTTTATATGTTATAATAACAACAACAGTGACAAACTGCTGGTCCTACTGGGCTCCCTGTCCCCGGAAATTCCTACTGGACTCCTACTGGACTCCTACTGGACTCCTTGTACTGGACTCCTACTGGACTCATTCCTTAAAAATCCAGTAGAATTCCACAATTCCTGGTGATTTGGGTTCAGTCCGGTAGGAATTTACTAGGACTCCACTAGGACTAGGATACAAAATTTGTATGGTGATCAGCCAACATTAAAATGTGTCCCAGTCCTAGTCCAGTCCGGTAGGATTCCGGGAATCCAGTAGGAGTCCGTAGGAATAGGTGGGGGAGAGTAAAGAGCTCGACGAGTCTGCCAACTCCTTGCTCATCGACAACCCTCTGTACAGGGAGATCTTAGCACACGCACATGCTGCTGTTACCAACCGCATGCCGGCTTATCCCACCCTTGCTTATTTCAAGCAGCAAGAGGTCGATCTTCATGAACGCGTTCTTCTCAGCATGCCGCGCCTCGACTTGGAGCTTCGTCTTCGCGATGTACTTGTCGCTGATTACGAAATTGCCCTTGCCCAGATTGCTGAGCGTGAAGTAACTAAGGAGTAGTAGAACTATCCGAACTTTTTTCATAGACGGACACCTAGAGCCCGCATGTATAGTTGACTATGCATGGAAAATCTAGAAGGCACTTGCGCATTATGTTTATAAACTGCTGGAGGTTTTATTAAACTTTAGCCAATTTTAAAGCGTAAGTCTACTAAGCCTCTTCTTCACTTAAATCTTTGATTTCTTCTAAGTCCCCGGATTCATCTGTGGAAGACCCATCAAGATTAACTCCTTCAAAGTAGTAATCTCTTGCGTTAGGTCTTTCTTCAACGCCTGTGTTTTCGATTTCATCCAGTTCCTCATTGCTTGCATCAATAAGTGTACTGAAGTGCTCAGGTAAGTCGATCCTTTCTCTTGTGAAATACGGAATGACTCTGAACACTCCAATTTTATTGTGATTGACTGATCCGTCTAGTTCACAAACTATATATGAACCTCCCTTTGTTCGTCGTATCACAATCATAGGTCCCAGGTATCTTGGTTGCATTTTACTACTTAATGATGAGGATACCTGTGAATTTCTGATAAGCACCAGGTCTCCGGGTTTATACATTCGACCACTGATTTTATGGCGGTGGCTCAGTTCATATTTTGCCACTCTTTTCATTTTTTCTAAGGTGACCCTCTCGCGCATTTCTGCCACATGCTGCCTGTGTTTTGCTAATGCTTTGGCTCTATAGCCAATCAATTCTGCAGTGGACAACATACGGTCTGGTAATTTTACTAACCAGGTAGCCTCCTGTACGTCGAGAGGTAATATTGGATGCGCACCTGTTACCATAAAGAACGGCGAACAACCAAATCTTTTTCTAATCGTGATCCTGTCAGCCCAAAGTACTTGCCAAAAGAACCAATACCACTTGGCAAGGTTCTTGGGTCCACAGCACTTTGTGAGCATTTGTATAATATCCCAATGGGGCCTTTTGATTCTGCCATTTGCCTTAGAATTATACGGAGATATCCTAATACCCTTTATCCCGTATTTTTCTTCGAGCCATTTTACAGCAGCAAGGAAAACCGAACCATTGTCAGTTATTATTACTTCTAGACAACCCCATCTGCAGATGACTTCTTCAAAAAGCCATAAGCCGACAGTTCTTGCAGTTTCACTTTTGAGGGGTTTTCCTTCAACCCAGCTTGACAGTGCACACCTCCCATGGACGATGTATTTACATCCATTAGATTTCGGAGTCATGTGTATGGTATCAGCGTGTAGTCGTTGGAAAATAGATGGTGTATGTGTCACAGTGGGTGGGATTTCCACTACACGTTTGGTACGTTCCTGACAACGCTGGCATGTTTTCACATACCAATGTACGTCTCTTTCGATTTCAGGCCACCAAAAACGCTCCGTTAACATATTCTGCGTTGCATATGCTCACCTATGTCCCATAGCATCGTGTGCAGATCTCATCATGTACATTCGGTGAGACTTGTCGACCACTAGCTTGTGACGTGATTCAATGCTTCGACGATATAATCTATCCTCTTTGTCTAGGAAGAAACTTTTTGCAAATCTTACGAAAGCGCTGTACTTTTTATCAGAATATCCTTCGATCTTTTTAGGATTTTTCAGCCATTCTCTTAGTATAAGAAGGAATTCATCCTGTGACTGTCCAATGAATGACCTATGAGTTTCCGGGTAAGGTTGCTCTGTTTCTAGTTCGTCAAACCTGGCCTCCAGGCCTGGTGAAGTTAAAGTCGAAATCATGTAAGTTCGAAGAAAATCCTTCTGTTCTGGGCTGCTTTTTGTATGATCTGGATCATTGTCCACTCTTGTTTTCACATCTTTAGCTATTTTCTGTGTCATTGCTATTTCCCTGTCTAGTTCATCCTTAAAATCTGAGATGTCTAGAGCCAATTGTTGGATATATCCCCCCCTCGAGTCAATTTGATCTTTGAAGGTTTCGAAATCCAAAGGGGGCTCCCCTCCATCTGGATCTGGTAACACTTCAATGACACCAATGGGTTCGTCGAGATGTTCATCTGAAGGTGGATACACATCGTCACCTGGTTGAGTGTCTCTGCGCGATAATCCATCTGCGCCAAAGGTCTTTCCTTGGACATGTTGTAACTTAAAATGGAACATTAGACATGCGTCAATCCATCTGTTGATGGTTGCATTCGGTCCCATTTCAGGGTTTCGAAGCATACCTGACAGGTATTTCGCGTCTGTTTCCACAATTAGTTTTCGACATCCTAGAAGCCAGTATGATGCAGCCTGTAAAGATCGCATTAAACCAAATAATTCTCTTTTTGGTTGGGAAAATCGAGCTTCTCTATCATTCAAAGTTATAGAACCGAACCTGGCATACTGCCTAAGCCCAGTCGTATGGTTATCCTGATATATGTAGAACCCAACCGCTTTCCAAGAGGTGTCTACAGCTAGTACCACTGGGTTAGGATTATTTTCGTAATCCAACGGCACGAGCGCTTTACTTTCGCGAAGTGAGGATTTCAATTCGTCCATAGACTCTTCTTGTGCCGGTCCCCATACAAAAGGAGCCCCCTTTTTGCATAAATCGTTGAGAGGTTCTGCTTTCTTTGCAAAATTCTCAATAAACATTCTGCAGACCCCTACAGTTCCTAGAAAAGCCCTGACATCATGTAGGTCTTTACAAGGTCCCCAAAGATCTATAACTTTCATTCTTTCAGTTTCCGGTTTTCTGCCTTCATAAGTGCATAGGTGGCCTACTACTGTTATTTCAGCCGCACAAATTACCGACTTAAATCCCGAAAAGGTTCCTCCAGCATATTTCATCCTATGAACTACCCTGTTAGCATTTTCGAAGTGTTCCATTATGAACCTTCTTATACCGCTATTTTCAGGTATAGTCTCGTATTTTCCATCTGGCAACTCGTACCTTGTTGCAGGCCCTCTGACAGGCACATCATCAATATATGGCACAGTTACTTCAGGAATTTCTTCTTGTAAAATATACGTAACGTCATCATGGAAAATTGGAACGGAATTTGTCCAACCCATGGGTAGAGTGACAAGTCTTAAAGCTCCAAAAGGAGTTTGAAATGTAGTCAGATCCCTGGAAGTCTCTGCCAAGAGCCTTTCATCGTATCCAACGTATAAATCAAACATTCCTCCACAAGCTCGACCAGCGAAATGCATAGCAAGTGCATCGGTTGCAGGTGGTAACCCTGAATGTGCTATAGTCACTGCATTTAAAGGTTCCAGACTATGTACAAGCCTCAAACTTTTTCCATCTTTCTTTAATACACAAAACCATCTTGACCTATAAGAAGAATTTGAGGGTTCATATACCCCAGCATCCAATTTGGTCTTAATAATTCTGCACACTTCTTGATAAAGTCCAGGAGGTATTGGAATATTTTTCAAAACCCACGGCGTATGTGGAATTATTGGAATGTCTACGGGTGGGAAGTATTCTGTTTTGAAGCTCCCCCTCTCACTATCATCCCAAGCAAAGGCTTCGTTGTTTTCCATCATAAAATAATGTAGTAGTTTGCGCTCCTCTGGCCACAAGAAATCGCCGTCATGAACTTTGTCAAATTGCTCTCTTCGCTCTTCAGTATAGCGTCCCGTGGGTGTGAATTTTGGTGGGTTTCTATTCAGCTTTGGCAAGGTGTCCATTGGATCGCCTTTTATATCCCGAATAATTCGAAATTTATCTGGTAGGTCCTGAAAGACGGGTCGGATTTTCTGTGCGACTGGTTTATACTTTTTAGTTACCAGTACCTCCCTTGTCGCAGGATGTTCACCCTCCACTTCGCTCGGTTGCGCTTTACCGTCATGGTTATATATCGTATTCATCATGGTTTCCACTGTAGATGCGGTGCCCGATTCTTGACTTTGCTTAGAATAATATTTTTCTAAGTAGTTTACCAGAACCGTACTAGCCGCCTTGTCTGTCATCTTTTCTTTTTCATGTTTTAAGTATTTTGTAAGATACAAATTCCTAGTCTCTTCTTCAGAGAATTGATCGTCCATTGGTAAGGCGTACGATAGGACTTTATATCCTCCCGCA